TTCGAAATCTTCATTTTCGTCGAATACCAAATCCAAGCCGTGAAATAAACAGAAGGGTCACCAGTGGCAGCAGAATTGGCATCAGAGTAAAAAAAAGAGTGCAGAGGCGAAATTTGGAGAGAATCAAATTCAGAAGCATACAGTGGAATTAGAATTTTGATCACCGGTAGAGACATCATCTTGATATACGGCTGAAGTCACGTTTAATGGCTGATCAAGAACCTCAGTGGTTAAGCAGTATTCCCAAATTGAATCTGAAGAATTCTTACTTTCATGTACAGCATTTGCTTCTGATTCCTAGGTTTTGACTCGGCAATTCGGCTTAATATGGCCTGCTTTCCGCAACGATCACACACCACTTTCGCTTGACAATCTCGTTTAAAGTGACCTGGTTTTCCACACCTGTAACAAGATTTAAATGGCTTCTTTGATGACTTCTCACTTCTGAATTGATTCCCATGGCTAGATGAAGGCTTTGAATGAAAATTCTATCTCCTTTGATCTTTGACATACAACACATCTTCTGACTTTCGGGAAAACTCGTTGCTGCTAGTCATTTGCTTAATCAAAGCTTCGAAAGAAGATTCTCCAGATCAATTACTGCAGGCTGATTTACCTACCCTTGTATTGAGGAAACAAAGGGCATAAACTCTTTCCGTAATCCACGAATAAGATAACGCCGTAATCGAGCCTCACTCACTGGTACCTCAGCATCTAATTTTGAAATTTCAGAACACAGATTTTTTCACTTTCAAAAAATATTCTTCAATAAAAAAATTACCTTGATCTTCCATTGTTGACGTAATATCCCACAGATCTTGTCCTTGTAGATAAGCTTCCAGTCCTTGTAGATAAGCTTCCAGTTATTGCCTGAAATCGAAAGTCCTAGTTATTGCCAACCAGCTTTTCCATAGCTATACTCAGTCAAAGAAAGTCCGTGTCCTATCTTATTCAAGATAGAGTTGGTTCTAAATAGGTGTGTTTGTTGATTTGAGAGTCCTAGTCCTATCTTATTCAAGATAGAGTTGGTTCTATTGATTTGAGAGACTTTGCTTGGCTCCTCCCCTCAATAGAACGGCAACTCTGTACAATACAGATCATGCAATTGTCGTTTACACACTTCTCTCCCAACATGAATCGGTCGTTTACACACTTCTCTCCCAACATGAATCGAAAACGCCTTCTGATCTGGAGTCGCTACCATTGCGATCCCACACTTCTCTCCCAACATGAATCGAAAACGCCTTCTGATCTGGAGTCGCTACCATTGCGATCCCATGATATTTAACCATGGTGGCACCTTGTACAATACAGATTGTCATTCACACACCGCTCTTCATCATTTATAATATAAGATTAAAACTATTAAATAGTATAATTTTGAACCCAACGTGAATCGAACACGCAACCTTCTAATCTAGAGTCAAACGCACTACCATTGCGCCATGGATCCCATGATATTTAATGGGATGGCGCCTCTGTACAATACAGATGATCATATAGTATAATATTGAACCCAAGTAATATTGAACAACGTGAATCAAACACGCAACCTGATCTGAAGTCGCGCTACCATGGATCCCATGATATTTAATGGGACGGCGCCTCTGTACAATACAGATCTTGTCGTTTACACACTACTATTGATCGTTTACAATATAAGATTAAAACTATCATCAAATAGTATAATATTAAACCCAACATGAATCGAACACGCAACCTTCTGATCTGGAGTTAGACGCACTACCATTGCGCCATGGATCCCATGATATTTAACGGGACGGCGCCTCTGTACAATACAGATCTTGTCGTTTACACACTACTCTTGATCGTTTACCATATAAGATTAAAACTATCATCAAATAGTATAACATTGAACCCAACATCGAACACGCAACCTTTTGATCTGGAGTCAGACACGCTACCATTGCGCCATGGATCCCATGATATTTAATGAGATGGCGCCTCTGTACAGTACAGATCTTGCAGCTTCCATTCACACAATTTTATATAAGATTATGAGATAGATTATAAGATTAAAACTATCAAATAGTATGAATTGAACACGCAACCTTTTGATTTAGAGTTAGACGCACTACCATTGCGATTTAGAGTTAGACACTATCATTGCGCCATGGATCACATGATATTTAATGCAACGGCGCCTCTATACAATACAGATCAGTCCGCGCTTTCTTTCATGTTTACAATAATACAATATAAGATTACACACGCAACCTTCTGATCTGGAGTAGTCCGCGCTTTCACTGTATAAGATTACACACGCAACCTTCACCTTCTGATCTGGAGTCGGCGCTTTCACTGTATACACATGCAACCTTCACCTTCTGATCTGGAGTCGGTGCTTTCACTGTATACACACGCAACCTTCACCTTCTGATCTTGAGTCCGCGCTTTCTGTCATTCTTTCATTCACACATTGCTCTTCATCGTTTACAATATAAGATTAAAACTATCAAATAGTATAATATTGAACCCAACGTGAATCAAACACACAACCTTCTGATCTAGAGTCAAACACACTACCATTGCGCCATGGATCCCATGATATTTTATGGGACGGCTCCTCTATACAACACATATCTTGCAATTGTCATTCACACACTGCTCTTCAACCCAACGTGAATTGAACACGCAACCTTCTGATTTAGAATCAGACGTACTACCATTGCGCCATGGATCTCTCCAAAATTGGCTCTTTAATCCGTGATTCATTAGCCACTAGTCAACTCGTAAGCATAGCTAAGGGAGTTTCTTTCCGAAAGATGAAATCATTAACAGGGAGAAACTTAAAGAAAAAAATTATGAAACTATCCCTAATATAAGAATACATGGCTTTCATGAACTCCAAGTGCCCCGATATGTTACATTTTGCAAAATATTGATACTATAAGGAACCACGTGATTATGAAAGTTTATATATTATGACTCACATGTTCAGTTAGAGCTTACATGTTATAATCTATGCTTTGGTTGTGCAAGAAGAAGACCATGCCAAGAAAGCACAACTCAAGCCTTAAGCAATACTAAGAATTTTAGGTACCACATTACTTAGGCTCACCACACGCCTCAAGCAACCTTGAACTTCATTATTTCATAACTCAGACTATGTCGTGAGTGATGTAGGAGATTTTCGGGGCCACCAAGATGTCAAATTTGGATTTCAACCTAAGGATGTGTCGTGACAGTTATAGGTTGAATTCAGATCCCAATTCAAGGGAATGTTAGAGTCATCATGAATCGAATTTGGAATTTGAATCCTAGTCCAAACCAAAAATATAGACTTTTAGGCTCATTTCATGTACCGGTATCACAGAGGGAGTGTCTAAAGGACAAGAAACAAGAATAAAAAACTAAGACTCCAAATGTTCAAGATCAAAGTTCTTAGAGAAAGAACCAAAACTTGACCCACGGAAGAACCAAAACTTGACTCACAGCTTAGGGCTTACATGTATATGTCGCGTTTGTGTCTTAAGTTTTAAAAAGAACCTTAAAGCTAGAGCACAAAAACCTATGAACCCAAGAGGATACTCTAAAGGCAATAATCATGATAAGAAGGTGGGTACTAAAAAAATGTACAACTTACTTACCATAACATTAAGATGGTTAGGTACCACTCTACCCTCGTGCTCTAAAGGTCCCCTGATAAGCGATGCAACATGATCCCTCAACACAGTATACATCACAAAAGACGCATGAAACTTTGGAACAAGTATGTAAACTATGTTGCAGGGAACGTATGAAGCCTTAGACATAGGTTTGCAGAAGGTATCATAGGGAATGCATGAAGCCATGAATTCAAGTATCAGGACTTTGACTACATCACAGGGAACACATGAAACATTGGATATAGGTATTCATACTATGATGTTGGGAACTTCCAAAGTCTTAAGCATAGGCCTGCATATTGTGTCTTAGGAAATGCATGAAACCTCATACATAAGTTAGGACTAAATTATTTACCTACCATAGGAACCCACACGCCTCTTAAGAGCCAAGGTCCTCATGTCAAAACTAAGAACTTAAAAACTTAGAACTTTAGACCAAGATCATCGATATAGAACCATGTTATGTACTCAATACTCATGACCAAAACTTAAGGATCAAGGTTAAAAAGTGTAGTACCGTAGCATCCATCATAGAAACAATTAAAAATCTACAAGTAGGCTAGTGCCCAAGTCTTGTACTCGCTTTATGTTTGCCATGTTTTTTAAGTAACTAGGAGCTGTTCGAATATGAGAGCAAATTTGGAGTAAGAGTCATAGAGAGTCGATCCTAAGGAACCAGAGCCTCCAATTGTTCCTGTTTGTTGTGTCATTTTAACTCATCGTTTCTCAAGGTATTTAAACTTGTGATTTGGACAATATAAATAAAATATATTTATATTTTATATTCCCTTTGTTTTGTTTAAGAAAAAATTTAGAGTCGTGTTGTAATCTGTACTTTAAAAATCCTTAAAAATTTGGTCGTAATAAATAAATGAATAAAACCCAAATTATTATTTTAACAAAAATAAATAATATATGTATTTTTTTTATATATAATAATTGAGATGAAAAATTCAAATTTTTGATCATATGTAAATAAATAATAATAACATTAATTCCACCAACCTACACGCAAGGAATAACACATAGGAAGTTAATATTAATTTAATGGGTAATTTATAAAATATAAATCGCCAATAAATGGAATAAAAAGACAAAAATAAAAGTTGACTAAACACCTTTTTTTGCTCAATTTTCAAACAACTTGTACACTTCATTTAATCACCCAAATTAGGTCGATTTCAAAACTAAATAAAAAATATTTTATAAAATAAATAATCAACAAAGAATTTAATTAATAGTTAAAAAATACGATATAATTTTTTAAATTAAAAAACGACATAAATTAATTTACTATGTTTACGTAATCCTTCAAACTTATAATTTAACTCAAAATAGGTTTTAAAGGTCAAACAATTCGTTCTCCGGCCGCAACGACGTCGTTTTCATCTCCGTACTGCAATTCAGCTCGGCTTCATCGTAATCGTTGACTAGGATCTCGTCCATTTTGCTCTTTTGCCAATGCTCCGGCCTTCATTTCAATGTCGTAATTCATCTATAACACAGAAATTTCGAAATTCGGAAATTCTATGTTCGAAATCCGAGCAAAAGCCTCATAAATTTCCAGTCAACGCTCGTCTCGCCAGCCCTTGTTCTTGAATTCGTTCCTCCGATCTCAGTTACCTGTATTAGCATCTGGGTTCGGCAATTCTTTGCCATTTCTCAGATGGGTCGTAAGCAAATCGACCAAGAAGCCTCTCGTTTAACCCTACCGATCCTAATTTTGGTTAGTTTCATCTCCTGCGCCGCCGTGTACACGTTTCTCCCTTTTTTGTTCAGACTCAACGGCGGCGATCCTTCCAAACTTGAATCGTTCGCAGTGATTAGAGATGGTGATGCCGGAAATTTGGAAGGTGGAGCCGAGGAATGTTGCCGGGGAATCGAGAATTTGGAGTATTGGGGTCCGGCTGTGAAGTGGGGTTCTGAATTTAAGTTCAATTCCTCTGAGCTGTGTTGTAAGGCTTGTAAAGCTATGTGCAACGGCAATGATGGGCCTTGCTTGTGTGATACTTGGGTTTATTGTGGAAATCGAAAGGAATGTGGTTCAAAATTTGGTGAAGTATGTTGAAATCTTGTCTAGTTTTTCACTTTTTCTTCCTAATCATTACCTTAATCATGTGTATTTGGTTTGATTAGATCCTTTATTTTAGAGTTCTGTTCTTCAAATTCTGTGGTTTCAATGAGAGATATTAAGCTCTGTTGAATTCATGTATGATTTTATGTTTATGTCAATAGTGTTGGCTGAAGAAACAGAAGGATACATTGGCCCCTGATCGGCAGGAAGGAGGGACAACAAGTATTTGGACATCTGGGCTTATCTTTGGAAGAGGAGAGGTTTTGAATCTCTCAAACATAAAGTTTATGATTGTTTTAACAATTGTTTGTATTGTTTTCAATGTTCTATCCCAAATTTTGTAGGCTTTTCCAGAAGGAAATGGCCATTTGTTTGATCATTAACCCATTATATATGTATCTATGGTTATGATATCTTCAGCTTCTTGTCTATTGATGAGTCTTCAATGGTTTGTTTCCTAGGGAATCGTTGCGTTGGAGACCGACCATGGCACGCTTCATATCAAGGTAACCGTCCTTGCTTGTATGTGCTCTTAGTTACCTTCCTAACTCGTGTTCTTAGGGGTGAGGAGACTCGTGTTCGTTATTTGTTTTAATGCTTCGTATTCTGAGGAAACTTTCGTCTGTTCGTATTCGTCGATTGCATGATTGAATTGTTGAATATCAGAATGTTCTTGACAATAGAAACTTCAAGATCTTACCCATATAACTGTTACATTTTTGTGCATTCTGAGATAGTGTTTTTGGTTATACCCTGTTTATGGACTCTGATAGCATTTAGAACGCTTCCCCCTGTCGTTTTCACGTGTCGTTATAATGCGAAAATTTGCCTCGTTCACTTGTGCAGCATCTATTCATAGCGTTTGTGACATATTTCTTAACTTATGCAGCTCTTCCCTGACTGTGCTCCCCATTCTGTTGCCTACATTCTTGAGTTGTTGGAATTACGACATTGCGCTGGTTGCCACTTCTACCGTGCCGAGGGTCGAGGCCAATCTTGGGACTCGAAAGGAAACCCCATAGAAAACGTAAGGATGTCTTTCGTGTAGCTCCTTTTGCACACATTACACTTTTAAAAAGATAACTTAAGAGGATGAACTAGATATCCATATGAGGTGCAACAACCATGTTCTTATTCAAATTTCTTTGAACCACTAGGCTCCTTTAGGTCCTCCGTTTGCACTTATTCAAGGAACACTGGAAACCCAAGGGGAACCATTTAAGAAGATTTCCCCTGAAGTTTGCCCATACATAAAGCGCGGTTCGGTAGCGTGGGTTGGTTCGGGACCGGAATTCTTCATTAGTCTTGCAAACCACCAAGAATGGAATAAAGTGTACACGGTGTTCGGTTCGGTTCTCCCAGAAGACATGGAAGTTGCAGAGAAAATTGCTGGACTTCCTACCAAGCCCGATGTTTGGAACAATGTCAACGTTTCGGTGTTGCAAGAACACGTTCCGTTGCGGTTGAAACGAATGAAGAAGAGTCATGGAGATCTGAACATGAAATCAGATTGATATTTTGGTTATACCACTTCTTTTTCACATAATGTTCTTGAGTTTCTTTAAGTTCACTTATTTTTCTTTTAGCTGTTTCACTCTTATATTCCATTTTGGACAGTTTTTATTATGCCTCATAAAGCTATCATAGTTTCTTACTCATAAGAAAAAGAAAACAAAATCATTTCTCTTTCGAAGTGTTTAGTACCACATTTAACGGTTTAAGAAGCACTTCATTTCAATGGTCTCGTGATTCATGGGTTACTTTGGTCACATGAACACGTACTGGTATCTTCTTCGTGGATGGTATTTTATTTGATTTAGAATGGCTTCTAACGAGGTGAAAGTTGAGATTCAAATTCAAATCTTTACAGCAAGTTCGATATGTTGTGATCTGCGACCGAGAAACATGAGGAAATATAGCACTTCGACTGTTTTTAGTGATTGAATAAAAAGTGGCTCATGATCACGTTTTAAGACATTTATATATATGTTTTTTCGATATGAGAGATGTGAAAAGGATGAAGTAATGAGAGAAGAAAGCATTGTTGGTAGTAAAGATTTGTCACGATCCGTTGGTTTATATAGAATCCATGTCCTACGTGTATCAAAAAACATGATTTTTGCTAAGCGTATGTAATAAAATAGAGTGAAATGGTCCACCCCGAAACTAATGGGGTACTAACTAAGAGTACCTCCTCGTGCATACAAACTACTAGATACCTATGTGGTCCCTTGCCCATCATGCAGGCTAGTTTATGAAACAAGAGGCCTGTTGGGGTATCCTAGTTTGTTTCCACGTGCGATACCGACGCATTCATATCTCACAGAGCTCTAATTTAAGTTTATCTCATCATGTTCTTCTGATTTAAAGGCACTACTCTATAAGAACTAATCTATGTCTACCCCACACGGTGGACAAGAAGACATCTACCAATCAAAGTAAGTTCACTATTAAGATTAGCTAGCTAGTCTTAATATTCCCTACATGCCACCGATAAGGATAGAAGACTGGCCTTAACTCCGTTCATGATTCTAATCTGGGCATAGTATAGTTTGGGATACTCTTAAGCTACGTGGTACTTGGCTCGATCTCTTAAGGCCTTTTAATGATTCATGCAAATCCATGTGTCCTACTTGAGTCTAACTCGTATCCTACGACCGTATTCTAGCTAAGAACATCATGTAAGATACCAATCTCATGCCATTCACAATAAACAAGTTCAAACATGCTAGCAAGAAATTAAATGTTCAAATACGATGGCTCGTTACAAACATATGGACCTTAATTGTACTCAAAGGTTCACAAACCAGCTTTACCAAGAATATAATTGAAGCTAAATCTCTAAATTAGTAATTTAGAGTAACATCTCATATCATGTTTTACCGAAATTAAATTAACCCATTTATTTCATTAAAACATGTCGGGTTTATATTGATATATCAAGTGAATTCAAGCAACTAAGGTTCATAAATCTTGTTTCAGACATCTAAACGTGCTCATTTCAATCATTTCTATCATACAATGTTATTCTCAAGGTTTCAAAGCAATTCAAAATAATTCCTACGAGTATTTCTCAAGAAAAGCCTAAGGTGGCTATTACTTGTTCATATGTATTCATGGGCTTGTTCCCATGCTTTCCAAACTCAAATGTTCTCAAATTTTCGTGTGGAGGTCCTAGAATGACTCAAGAACAATGAACCAAAGAAAAATTTATGAGAAACGAGCTAGAATAGTGAGCAATTTAAAAAAAAAACCAAAAGGTGGTCGATTCAATTGAATTAGCCACACCATCGTTTTCTATTTTTGATAAAGGACAATGATGTGTGTCTCTCGCTCCTTACTTTAAAACTCGAGTTGTGCAGCTCGTTCCAGTGGCCATCTCAAGTTAGTTTCTTCACCAAACTTGTAGACCTAACATCCATGAAGTTGTAGGTTCAATTTTTATAAATTTTAATTCACTACACAAAGAGTTTATGATAAGATAAGGAATCAACTACAAAGAGAATAAGATTCGGATTACCTTGTTGATCGAATATCTCAAGACAAGAACATTGTTTGAGATTCGAATTACTCCACAAGCAAGATCGATCATGTCTAGCTTGAATGATTCTTGTTGATCAAATATCTCAAGGCAAGAACGCTTGCTTGAGATTCAAATCACTTCACAAGCAAAATTGATCATGTCGAGCTTGAATGATTCTACATGCAATCTAAACTACATAGAATTGCAAAGATACTTAGCCATTGGCTAAAGAAAAGCACAAATGCTTCTTTTAATATATTTTTCAAATCTACCTTACAAATACAACATACATGGCTTTATATAGCCTCAAAATGAAGACATTCCAAAAGTTGTAACATTCATACTTAATGACCATAATTAGCCATTATGTAAATGTAACCTAAAGTAAATAAAATGTCTTAAAATACAATAACTCTAAATTACTCTAAATTGTAACCCACCCAAAATTTATAACTATCAAACTTCATTCCTCTTCAATGTGACATGAATTGCAACCTCTTTTGATAATTTTGACAACATTTTATTCACATCTTCGTTGAAGTATATTGTATGAATAATGTCTCTTGGTTCATATCAGTTTAGATTCGAGGAAAATAATGTACTCACTAGCTTGGTTCCTATAATTCTCAAGTAGTCTATCTCTCGATTCATAAGTTTCCATCAACTACTCTCAATTCCTTTATAAACGTTATGGGTAATCTTTCTCTCAAACTGAAAGGACAATTCTCAAGTCATGGCATTGAGTATCGAGAGAGAATTTCTCAATAAAAGGTGTTATGTTCACGTTTCAAATTTGTAGAAAAGTCAAACTTATTTCGTTCTAGGGTTTTCAATATTCCTTTCCTTTACGAAAACAATCTTAGTTCAAGAATCATCTTTTGAGAGTGCAATCGGATACCATCATTTTCATGGATAAGTTCATAACAAAGATTTTTCAAGAAGGTGTCAAGGGACGAAAAGATTTTAGATGACCGAGGGAGGCTCGTTGGAGTTTTAGTCCAAATTCTCACTTCAAGACGGTTTATGGAATCGCTGCTTACCATTGATATGTTTTTGTACACAATAGAAACACTCACCTTAAAATAACTACTTGTGTAATCTCAAATCTCTCCTTGAGACCGGTTTACGGAATCGTTACATCAACCTTGATCTGTTTCTATGGACAATTGAAACACTTACCTTGAAATAGCTATCAAAATAGTCTCAAATCTCTCTTCGAGACCCGTTTATGGAATCACAACATTAGCCTTGATCTGATTCTATACACAATAGAAACTCTCACATTAAAATAACTTCCTATATAGTCCCAAATCTCTCTAAAAGACAGATCTATGGAATTGCAACGTTAGCCTTGGTCCGTTTCTATACACAATAAAAGAGCTAGCTACCCATGTAGTCACAAGTCCCTCTTTAGTATTGGTTTATGAAATTGCGGAGTTAGCCTTGATCCATTTCTAAGAGGTTTGTGACTAACACCTAGGGTTAATCCAATCTCTCGGTGCTCTTAAATTTATTCTTCTAAAAGTCGTTCACGATTCTATGGTGCTAGGCCTACTGGAAACCTATTAATCTAGGTCAACACAAAGGCTACTCTAACGGTAACGTCCTAAACTTAACTTGGTTCAAGCATGTTTTACTAAAGAGATATTCCTATCGATCAACTGAAGCAATGGGAACATATTTAATGCACTATGCACACCTATTAGAGAGATATTCCTATCAATCACCTAAGCAAGGAATTCATAACCAAGAAACGTACAAACAAACTAAGCGGGGAGATAACATCTATTAGTCACTTGGAGCACAGATCACAATATCTCATCCTCCGTTCTAGCACAACTGAAAGCATTGAAGTACCAAAAATTGCCCATTTGAGTTCACTTATAAAGGCATTTTTGTAATTTTCCATACCGTACAATGTTCACTAGGTTGCCCATTGGAGTTCTAAACATGCATATTCTAACCACTCAAGGTATGATATGTCCTAACATCTCCCCTCTTCCTAACATCTCCGCCCTTCATAGGCTTGGGCAATCAATTTTCCAAAATCGATCCGGTTCTTGATTTCTTCCTATTTAATTTTGCTATTATATAGCATTACATAATCAATGACTAAATCACTTAATCAAATCTAATTCAAATAATTAAATCAAATTTAATCAAAATAACTAAATCAAATCTAATCTAATAACAACTTATCAAAATATGGGAACCAAAACTCTCGAATTTAAAAGAAAAATCGGAGGTATTTTTTATAATGTTTAAAAAATGAAGTTTAGATGTATTTTTTTTTATAATTTAGTCGATAATAAGAAGGTTGGCCTATGTTTTGATCGAGTGAATTAGGGTTTTGTAAACTAAAAGGGCAAGATTGTCTTTTCACTATCCTAAAGGGTTTGCCGCATTTGCCTTATTTATTTACAATCTCCCAAGCCCTTCCGTTCATATCAGTTTACTCTCCCAAACCAATTTCTCGGCTCTACTTAAGCCTATCGCCGGTCGGCATAGCAGTTTATCGGCGACGCCTCCTCAGTTTTCCTCACAGTCGCCGGGAAGAGCTGCCAGCCGCCGCGAGTGGTCGCTGTCCGCCCTTTGCTGTTTGCTCTGTAGCTATCTCTTTCTTGCACAAAACGCAGGTTCATCTGACTCTCTCTGCCTTTCAATCTCTCAATTTCGTTTTTTCCCTCTCTCGCTGTTTTTCGATTTCTTCTGAATTCATACGGAGGACTTCTTTTTCTTTGCAGATAGAAGACGCGAAAGATGCGGCATGCTAGCAAGGATCTTTTGTGTTTGGAGCGGAAAGATTTGCCCTCTTCGTCTTTTGGTAACTTTATTGTTGATTTTCTTCGTTTTAGCATATATTGAATGATAGGTATTAGTAAGATTATTTGTTTATTAACTAATTTTTTCCTTGAATCAGAATCCTCACTGCTAGTTTGTAAAAAGAACTCAACGTCCAAGGAACCCTGTCGGAATGAAAAACCCATTACAGAACCAGCTCCAAAAAGCCAAGGTACATACTTTTAAATTCAGCTGTTTGTTTGTGTTGAAGATGGTTGGGAGGGAGTCCACATTGGCTAATTTAGGCTAATTTAGGGAATGATCATGAATTTGTAGGTAAGGAATACATCTCCATTGGTATAAGGCCTTTTGGGGAAGCCCAAAGGCTCAAAGTGGACAATATCATACCATTGTGTAGAGTCGTTATTCCTAACCGTTTGAAACCTGGACACGAGCTTAGCATTTTTAGTGCATTGACTTTTAGCAGGCTAAATGCAGACATGGATATGTTGTTCTCTGTCAAGAAAAAGGTGTCCTGGAAATTTAGCATCCACCCATTAAATCATTGTTTCAATTGTCTTCCCAAGTTTGTGTTTAATTTCCTCTAGATTGTAAAGTTTATGAAAGATTAGGTTAGTCAAAGAGTACAATTTTTTATCAAGAATCCTCTTCCCAAAAGATGGTTATGAAATTTATCGTAAAAATAAGAACTGTGCTTGTTGCAAGATCTATGGATGTACATCTATGCCTGATGGATGGATAGGAAGTACTCACTAGTTGGTACCCAATCTTGGTTGTCTCGTAGGCTGGAAATATATTGATCTTTCTATTGCAAAAATTGTTTGCTTTTGCAAGCGAGTTGCACATTTAAAACAATGTAGCAGTATAGTGTAGTTGGATGTAACATAGAGTGGTTGGAGAATTACCGACTATGTAACATTGTCGCATTGTTACTAAATATTTCTAACTTGTAGCATTATTATGAGATGAAATGTAGAGATTGTTTGTAGCACTGTTCTAACAATTTAACACAATGCACTTTAGCTGGGAACTTACCTCCCCATTTTATGTCGTTTGAAGTAGACAAATTCCTTCCTAACTACTACATTTAGAACATAGAACATTTCTTTATTGTATTTGAATATGTTACAGTGCTTGTTCCTTCTTTGGAGTTGCAAACATTGCTCACTTCCTTCCCTTGTTGCAGTATTGGGAAGAGTCAAAGACTTCTTAGGAGTATTATCAGAAGCTAATAAAAAGCTGCAATTGGATGCAAAGGTTTGCACGTTGACCAATTACCCCCTAAATTTGAATCTAAACACAAACAACTTTCATAGTTCTTGACCTATACATTCTTGTTAATTGTCATAGGACGATGCTGAAAAATATGATATTGAAGCCCTTAATGGCGATGAATCAGAAGTCATTGAATTGGTAAGCCACTCTTCCTTGTATCCTTGGAATGTACGTGGTTGTGGATGTGGGAGCTTGGTTTTTCATCATTTAATGTCATAATTTGATTTAAACAGGATCTGATGTTGGGCATTGCTGATCTTCATACTCCTGAAGCTGTGGCTGCTGCTGAATCTGCAATAATTGGTAATCAGCCTGTGATTGCATTGAATTGTAGTAGTAGTAGTAGTGGTGAATCAGAGTCTGAAGAGAGTAGTGATGATAGCATTACAAGTGACAACAATGACGATGATAATGAAAAGAGTGACAACCAGAATACTGACCGTGGGAATCGATTGTCAGTTAAACTCAAAAGATTGAAGTCTAGAAAAACCAATTGTAGAAGTGAAAGCAAAGAAAAAGGTAAATCAAATAAGCGACCAAAGATTCTAGAGCTTTCTTGAGAGCCATCTTTTGATTGCATCTAATTCGATAATATGGATGTGTCACTATGTTTGAAAGTATATGAAGTTTCTGATGCTTGCACTGACATAATCTTCAAGGTTGATTGCCTGCCTAGTCCTTTAAGCTTTTGGGTAGGAAGCGATTTTGCTCAAGCTATTTCTTTCTTCATTTAGTTCATGTGCTTTCTTGGAAGGGAAGGCGTTGTCTTTATGCATTTCTCTTATAGGAACTGGAATATAGTTAAGTTGGGAATTATTCTTGATCAGATTACCAATGTTGGTTTGTATACATGATGTCGAACTTCAATACTTCAGAAATAGCCAAATTAAGATATTTTTTGTTCTATTTGGCCCCTCTTCTTTCTTTCACCAGTTCTTTTATGTTGTCATGCTTTCTAAGGAGAAATTCACTGGTTTTTGCTAGAGATTATGCATAGGATTCTTCTTATTAAGACAAGTTTTTTTCATTGAAAAATTGTTTATCTGCAGAAATCGTTCAAATTTTCAGTGCATAGGATTCTTGCACTTTGTAGGCCTCATAATAGCGTTGTGGTCTTGGATGTTGTTGAACATTAGATGCAGTAATTATGTAGCGAAAGGTGGTCTTGCACAAGAGAAAGAACTATACTTAAATTTTAGTTTTTTTTTTTAAAAAATCAATCCTTGTTGAATGTCAGTTTTAAAATTATGTAACTTGATGAGCCTATGTATCACATTTATTATTAGTATCTAAAAACTATAGACTTCGACAATCATTGTGGCATTTTAGTACTCCTAGGTTACATTGTGGGTATATGATACGTCAAACATATAGCATTTCATGTATATAGTTTTGGGAATTATATGCCTACTATAATCTTATGAACATGAATGTCAATAGTATGAGTATGTACTTATGTGAATTGTGATTTAAAAGAAAACTTAGACATACTACCGAACTTTAGTTAGGATATGCAATGGAGATTGCAAACTGAACATTTTACCTAAAAAAAAAAAGTAGTAAAATTAATTTACAACACTCCAATATTTCGAGACTCCTAAGCATGCAAACAACTCTCGAGAGGATAAATATGTTCAAAGATATGCCTAAGTAGAGGCTACTTCTTGAAGAGAAATAAAATAATATTTTATTTAATCCTAAATAGAAAAAAGTATTGGATGCTAAATTTTAATTTTCGAAATATCAAATGAAATGACATAAACCTTCCATAGGGTGATAAACCTTTCACCATTCCAAGTGACAACTTAATTACATTTGAAAGTCAAATGGATCCTAATCATGAATTGGGTAAATCCCATCGGAAGTTATAAGATGATTCAACCCTTACAAAAATCTAATGGAAGGTCGAGTTATCATGATAGATGATAAAGTTGAAGGCTTATTGTCCTCGAATAGTAATAAGAAATGATTGAGGTCAAAATCGTGATTTCCGTGTAGATCTTCCTAATAAACTTATAAATGAATCTATAAAAATGTATAAGTACGAAGATTCAGATCTCTTCCCAAATGGCAAAAAGTTCCCCTTTCGGAGTTTGTAGCTATGATATGTCAGCCCGATCAAGCATATCAACCAATGTCATTCTCCGTGGGAACCGCGGTGGAAGCCTCAAGATCATGGCATCTTCAATCTTTATTGGAATATGTGTTGCTACAATAACAATTCCACCTTTCTTTCTATGCTCTGCAATGATGTATTCCAGCAGCTTCACCCCATCATCATCTAATGCAACTGAAGGCTCATCAAGCAGCCAAATTGGTCTGTCAAGGGCCAACAATCTTGCTAGCTGAAGTCGTTTCCGTTGCCCCATCGACAACATTCTCGCCTTCTCTTTTGCCAATTTTCCAAGCCCCATCAATTGGAGGGAAGGCAATGACTTGCCTTGCTTCCCCTCGAGCACCTCGAACCATTGAACGTTGTCGATGACGGTGAAGTTCTCTTTAATGGCATCTTTTAGTGAAAGCCAGTTCAGCTGAAGCTTGTATTGATGGAACACTCCTGATTCTGTAATGTCATGGCCATTCCATAGGATCTCACCTGTAGAAGGCCGAGAGAATCCAGCTAACATTCGTAGGAATGTCGTTTTACCTGAACCATTGGTCCCGGTTAACACGAGCGCACTGCCATCATGGATCGAGACGTTAACATTTCTAAGGATTTGTTGGGCATTCCGCATGCAAGAGACCTGGTTGAGTAGAAGGCGAGGAAGTGGTGGCTTCCTGAGAGACATTGGTTGAGATATGCAAAACTACTATTACTGTTCACTACAAAACACTAAAATTCTCCAAACTGAGCTCAGCCTCATAAGAAACTACACACGCCAACACTTCCTGTGGTAGAAAGGAAAGCAAGACATAACCGCATTAAGTCAAAATGAAATAGTTCTTTAAGAAGCAAAATAGATTAGAAGACCCTTTGATTTCTCTTGATCCAAATCTTCCAAAAGCGAGACGTAACCACATTAAGCAAACAATAAAATAGTTCTTTAAGAAGTAAAATAACGATCCTAGAAGGGTCCAGACATGTTTGTAATGACTTTTTAAGTACTTAAAAGTATTTTTGAACGCGTAAACCTCTTTTTAAGCACTTGAAAAATCGATCCAAATAGCTCGAAATCAATAAATTGCCATACATTAAACAGTCCAGCAAAACAATCAGCCTTTCTCAGCAAGCAACGAACAATCAAACACCCTAAAATACATCATTCAGGACGCCCGAGTCGAGATCAAACAATTGTTCTGTATAGCAAAAGCTCGCAAATAGGTGAAAACTTTTATAGAATGCAAAACTAGGGAACAAAATCAAGATTTTGTTTTTCCCTGTTGAGAAGCTATTAAAGCTATTATCCAACTCACTGCAGGGTGAATATATGCAGATGGGCGATGCCAAAGATGTAGAGCCAACAGGGAAAATGAATGAACACAGAGAATAGATGATTTCAAATGGTGGATACAAGATTTGGCTTCAATGGATGGCCTTGAAAATTTTCCAGTTATGTACTAAAAAGATATTAAATCTAAAATTATTAGACAGTTCATAAACTTATTTGACACCTTCAAACCTGAGATACCTATTTGATATAAAACTAAATGCTCGATGAACTATAAGATCCGTTCTAAAAGTTAGGATTAATTAGAGATAAATAAGAAAGTTGGGAGACTAAACTTGATATTTAACCAAAATTATACAAATCATATGCATGAGTGCAACGGAAAAGGAAAGCAAACCAACAATTCTGCATCATTGATCCTTTCTAACAATCCCAATTATCCAGAGTAATACAGATACATGTATTAAATCCTCTTCAAAAATGACGAAGGAGATGCAAAGATTACCTCAACGAAGTTCTTCTCTCACATAACCTTGAAGCAATTTCACGATATATGGATTCCAATTTCTTCAAACGAATTTTGCAACAGTATTGAAGCAGATTAACTGGAAAACTATTGAGGAATCCCAAGTGAGGTTGGTCTCAACAGAGAAATGGCGATGAGTGCATCCAGCGATCCGCAACTGGAGGCCGACGGCGGCGTCGGCGGAGAGGGATATAAGAGAGAGGAAAGAAATTAGAACGGCGTCTGTGGCTGCAGAATAAGATGTTTGAGGGAGAAAGCGGAGAAAAAGAACAGAAGATTGGTCTCTAAAGGCCCACCAAACCGGCCCAGCCCATTTTATACCCCCAAAGATCAAACAAAGAAATTTCTTTTGCCCTCGCCTTCTCTTCCCATTTTTCGAAAGCATCGCCTAAAATCCGCAGCGGCGTCGGCGCCGACCGTCATTTTTCTCGGCAATCGGCTAAAATCTGCAACAGTTCGAAAGAGGAGATTTGGTGCTATCAATCAAGATGCCTCTTTACGATTGTATGCTTTTGATGAAACCCCATGTGAGGAAGGAGGCATTGTTGGATTTGGTTGCTAGAGTGGGCAAGCATGTGTTCAGAAGAAATGGGGTTGTCACTGACATTAAGTCGTTTGGAGTTGTTCAATTGGGTTATGGCATTAAGAAGCTTGATGGAAGATATTTTCAGGTGAGCTTTGATATCTGTTGTTTTCTTGTTGAAGCTTTTATCATCCACTGTTTGTTGTTCTTGTTAGCTGGATTGTATCTGTAAATCTCATGATCACTGTATTAACTGAGAATTGGATGCCTTTAATTAGCTTGTTCGCGTGTTCTTGGATTGTTTCAAAGGTGATAAAAGTGGCTTTGGTTAATTTAGTTGAAGTTCCAAGTAAACCTTTGTACTTAAGAACTGCAAATCATTGAAATGGTGGCTGTATTTGCTCATGGTTAATGATGTAGAACCAGTTTGCTTGATAAAAATTAAGCTTATAAACACTACTTTCATTCATGAATTTTGTTTTTGTTTTTTTATCCAGTATCTACCAATATTTTCGTAATTCAAGCTTAGTTTTATGAGATCCCACATTGGTTGGAGAGGAGAACAAAACATTCTTTATAAGAGTGTGGAAGGTGGAAACCTCTCCCTAGCATGCGTGTTTTAGAAACCTTGAAGGGAAGCCTGAAGGGAAAGTCCAAAGAGGACAATATTTGCTAGTGGTGGGCTTGGGCCATAACAAATGATTTAGAGCTAGACACCGGGCAATATCCAACGAGGAGGCTGAGCTCCAAAGGGGTGGACATGGGTGGTGTGCCAGCAAGGACGCTGGCCTCGAAGGGGGGTGGATTGGGGGGTCCCACATTGATTGGAGAAGGGAATGAGTGCCAACAAAGACGTGCCATGAAGGGTGGTGGATTGTGAGATCTCACATCGGTTGGAGATGAGAACGAAACATTCTTTATGAGGGTATGGAAACCTCTCCCTAGGAGACGCGTTTTAAAAATCTTGAGGAGAAATCCCAAAGAGAACAATATCTGTTAGCGGTAAGCTTGGGCTGTTACAAGTTTTGTGAGCTAAAAAGAACGTTTTCTTTATGAAAAAAAAAAGGATTTTGATGAAGAATTCCATTAGAGTAAGAAATTATTAGAAAACGAGCATAAATTTCAAAAACGAAATCATTAACTGGATAATAGCTTTGAGCTTTTGATATTGGAATGAAAGAAATATCATGTGATTTTGTGATTTCTTTTCTTATGAAGACGTAGGTGAGTTTATTCAGTTTCAGGCTTCTGTATGTTAACTCTATCTGATGCTTTCCAAAAGAGCAGTGACCCTAATAAGTCCTCTTAGTTATTACTTACTGCACATATTTCTGATAAATTGTTCATAACTCAAGGGAATCATTATCTATTCTCTTAATACGAATGGGTCGTCCGACGTTACTACCTCTAGTTGCCAAGATAACTCGTCGGATATTATTATAGGTAGATGGTCTCCATAGCTTAAACTACGAACCACAAACCTCCCATCTATGTAGTGAGTTCTTCCTTCATGATTGTTGTCACCTCAAATGAAGCTTCTGATCTTTTAGCTTCAGTCATCTAGCCACCTTATTGGGGACCTCAACAATAGAAAAGAAGGTTGGAATGCTTGAGAAGATTACTCGGACTAGGTTAATCGATCTCCCTTAAGCGGTTGTAGTTATGCTATGATATTGATTTTATTTCCGGGTCGAAAAATATGCTTACAAGCCTGCATGATTTAAATGTTAATCCATCCCCTGAATATTGACTCCTGACCTTATGATCCTTGTATATAACTTGATGGCTATTAGACCCAACTAGCTGAATATGACTTGATGACTCAGTTGGAACTATCAAAAGTCGAAGTCGATACCCAAACTCTGTTGTGTGTCATGAACACAATATCGTAGGAGTTCTAAACTAGAGCTTGTATTCATCTGATGTATTGTCAAGTTTCGTGACGCTTTTGTGGGATCGACGAAAAAAATTTGATCTATTTATTTGTAGTGGATGTCAGAATCAATCAATGACATTGTTATTCTTTCTTGTATGGTAAAGGGGCAACTTATGCAGATGACGATGATGGCCACTCCGAACATGAACAAGGAGTTACATTACCTAAACAAGGAAGATCGGTTGTTGCGTTGGCTTTTAGTGAAGCATCGTGACACAAAATATGGCCTGGAATTCCTTAGCGAAGACGATGGAAAGAATGAACTTAACAAATTTCCTCGATTTAAAATGATTGGTGATGACGACGCAGATGAAGAAGATGACGACGACGACGATGATGACGAAGAATACGACGTGGAGCAAGAAGAGAGGACAACTGAGTGAATTTTGGTTGTGTCTATTATGATAGCCCAAGTATGAACTTAGTGAAGGGACCTCTGGTACCGTTCTTGTGATATTGTAGGCAGACAAATAAAGAGATGGGTGGTTTCTTTAGTTTGTCCATATCATCTGATTCTCTGAAACAAAGATCCATAAATGCCTTTTGCCTGTTTGTGGGATGTTTTTGTTGAGATGTCAGGTCTTGGGTTCGAGCCTCTAGATGAAAAGTTTATGTAATGAATATCTCATCGTCTTTTAAAACTTTGCTTTTTCGTTGAAGTTTTATATCTTAACCCGTTGAGTTAAAGCTAATGTAGTGTAATATTGCTTCTATTAGCATAGAATGGAATGAATCTCGAGCAGTTATGACATTGTTGGAAAAGATCTTTTTGAGATCATCCAAGACAATTTTATTTTAAGTAATATCAATTCAAATATAGTTCCGTGGTGTGTAATATTGTCCGTTGTGTGTGCTCGAAATAGAAGTTTCGTATAAATAAGTTTTTTTCTTTTTAAGATGTGGAATATAATAACCGGGTTGAACGTAACAATCATTCGCCTCTAATGCATGTCCCATAATAGGTCCCATTTCTCTACTGGAGTCCCAATTTCTACACTTTTCTAAAGAAGAGGGGACACAATGATCTAAAGAAGAGGGGACACAATGCTTTATTTTCTGTCCTATTGATTCTCGACATTAAAAGTGTTTTCTTTCTTTATATCTCCATCCTTTGTATATTTATTTTAATTTCTTAATTTACAAGGAAATAAAATTAAATCAATTTTCTCATTACTGTTACTAATTTGCAATAAACCAAAATCTTATTATATTCAAGTTGTGGTTAGCTTATCAAAGGAAATTCTAGAAGACGTTGGAGTTGGAGACCTCCCATACATGTTGTTCAAAGTTGAGTGTAACGACCTAGGTCCACCACTAGTAGATATTGTCCTCTTTGGGCATCGACCAAAATCCACCGCTAGCAGATATTGTCCTCAATAGGCTTCCCCTTGAGTGTAACGACCCAAGTCCACCACTAGTAGATATTGTCCTCTTTGGGTATCGACCAAAATCTACCGCTAGTAGATATTGTCCTCTCTAGGCTTCCCCTCAACGCTTTAAAACGCGTATGCTAGAAGAAGGGTTCCACACCCTTGTAAAGAGTGTTTTGTTCTCCTCCCCAACCAATGTGGGACATCACAATCCACCTCCCTTTGGGGCTAACGTCCTCGCTGGCACTCATTCCATTCTCCAATCGATGTGGGACCACCATCAAATCCACCCCCTTTGGGGCTAGCGTTCTTACTGGCACACCGCCTCGTGTCTACCCTCCTTCGGAGAACAGCGAGAAGGCTGGCACATCATCCGGTGTCTGGCTCTGATACCATTTGTAACAACCCTAAATCCACCGCTAGCAGATATTGTCCTCTAGGTTTTCCCTTTCGAGCTTCCCCTCAAGGCTTTAAAACGTGTATGCTAGAGGAAGGTTTCCACACCCTTATAAAGAGTGTTTTGTTCTCCTCCTCAACCAATGTGGGACATCACATATAACTCGCGCACAGACCAGGGCATATGCAAAGACCAGTAAAGAGGCGGGAACGTCTGGCACCGTGGTGACAGGTACGCTTTCTATACTAGAACACTTTGCATTGACGTTGCTTGATTCAGGTTCTAACCATTCGTTTGTTTCTTTGCCATTTGTTAGTCAAGCAGGGTTCGTAGTAGAACCCTTAATGCATGTATTGTCGATCGATACCCCAGCAGGGGTAGACCTAGTCACAAAAAATAGAGTAAAAGACAGACAAGTATTAATAGCTGGACGAACCATCCACATAGACCTAAAAGTAGTAGATATGACGGATTTTGATGTCATACTAGGAATGGACTAGCTAGCCAAAAACTTTGCTAGCATAGACTGGCATAAGAAAGAAGTGGTATTCACACATCCAAACGGACTTACCTTTAAGTTTAAAGGAGCCTTCACAAGCACCACCCAAAAATAATATCGATGATGAAAGCCAGACGTCTGGTACAACGCAGGGGGGTGCGCGATTCTAGCCTGTGCAGTAAATACAAAAGGAAAGGAGAAAACAATAGATACAGTACCCATAGTAAACGAATTCACAGATGTCTTCCTAGAGGACCTCTCGGGAATCCCTCCATCGCGAGCGGTAGACTTTGGAATAGAATTGGAACCAGGAACGGGACCCATCTCTAAAGCCTCATACCGCATGGCCTCAGTATAACTAAAAGAACTTAAATCACAACTACAAGACCTATTAAATAAAGGCTTCATTGAACCTAACGTATTCCCTTGGGGTGCACCAGTATTGTTTGTTAAAAAGAAAGATGGTTTTATGCGTCTATACATTG